GTGGCTCTAGATATCTCCAAAGCGTTTGATAGGGTTTGGCATGCCAGCCTTCTTCGCAAGCTTCAGGGTTATGGAATTTCAGGTCGATTGTTTGACTTAATACAATCATTCCTGTCAAACCGTGTATTGAAGGTCGTTCTCAACGGATTCTCCTCCAGCTCCTATCCCACGAACGCAGGTGTTCCCCAAGGCTCCATCCTAGGCCCTACTCTGTTCCTTATCTTCATCAACGATCTTCCTGATGTCATAGATTCCCAAGTAGGCATCTACGCGGACGACACTACAATTTACTCCTGCCTCAAAAACAAATCTAGTGTCGTTGACAAAACTAACCTGGCCGTTCGTCTCGAAAAGGACCTCCAATCGGTTGTGAACTGGGGCAGGAATTGGCTGGTTAACTTTAATGCCTCAAAAACAAAACTGCTCTCTATTACTCACCACAGAGAACCATCCCTGCCCCGCATTAGAATGTCTGACGCTCAACTTCTCGAGAGCACCTCTTTGCGACTACTCGGTCTCACATTGACTGCTGACTTGAGATGGAACAAATACATTGAGTCAATAGCTTCGTCCACCGAAAGGAAAGTTGGCCGCCTGTGCCGAGCCAGGAAATTTTTCTCGCCTGAGTCGATCCTTCAAATCTACAAATCAACCATTCGCCCTTGCATGGAGTATTGCTGCCATATATAATCCGGTGCCCCTTCTGTTTGTCTCAAGGTTCATGTTTTTGGAGAGCAAAGACCAAGATAATTCTTACTTTCAGAATTCAGATTGTATTGTCCACTTAGCATTTTAGTGGATATCATGACCCACATGAACACTTTGAATATATTCCTCAAGGAAAGAACTATCCTATATTTGAGATGTTTGGTCAAATTTCTGCACTTGAAAGAAAACTTTGACAGTGGCAATCACAACTTCAGAAAAGAGAATACTCATTTTCCAAATCTCAAAAATCACAAGAGACGTAACTTTGTGACCTCTATTCAGCATGTGAAAAACTAGTTTTCCTCTCATTTCGATAACTTCTGGCAATACGAAAATCTAGTTAAATTATTTGGTACGCCTTGCGAAATAGATGTGGAGAAAATGGCAGAAAATATCAGCTGGAGTTAATCGACTTACAATGCGACAATTTTTTAAATCAAAATTTAAATGTGAATCCACTGCTGAATTCTACCAGAAGTATGTTTTGCCAAGCGGAGGAAAATCTAAAAGCCTATTTAATAATGCGAAAATGACGTTATCATTATTTGGAAGTACATGTGCTTGTGAACAACATTTTTTCGAAAATGAAATATACTAAAAGTCGTTTAAGAACAAGGTTTGGTAATGACCACCTGGATGATGTTTTGCTTCTATCATCGACAAATATTTCACCTGATGTAGAGAAGTCATCGAACAATAAGCAGAAAAAATGTCTCATTAACTAATTTACCATTTCCAACTGTATTTTGTTTGTTGTAAGGAATTTGCGTCTTTTGTTGATTGTGTTAGTTGTTTTGTTTTTTTTAAGAATTTCACCCTAAGCAAGTTGGGAGTGCCACTAGTACGCAAGGGGTTACAGAGAGTGAAAGTAAGAGAAAAGTAAGGGTTGCCAAGCCCTGTTTAGGACTTCGTATGACTAAAGTAATTTAGCTGGCCTTACGCATCAAAGGGAGGGGACGTTGAAATTTTAATCTTTTAAATTTAATTCTTCATTTAAATATGTTTGGGTATATAATCTAGGTGATTTCATTTTGTTTCTTTTTTTTTTTTTATCACTTATGTTATTAAATATATCATATATATATATATATATATATATATATATATATATATATATATATATATATATTTAAACATTTAACATTTTAAGTAGAGGATTTTATTCTTATATTGCGTCAGCGGTGGTACTATCTTTAAGCCTAGCAAATTTTAGCTTCTTTTTGCGATGATGGACATATTAATTTAGAAATTCTTGAAAAAATTAAATAATTGTCAGACCTTAATGAAATTTTCAGGACTTATTCACAAATGAATAAAATTATTTTTGAATTTTTTTTATTAGAAAATCTTGGTAAAATTGATTGCATGTGTTTCAGCCCCTAACTTAATTTTATGAAAACTTGAGAAATTCAACGTGATAATTTTTAATGACTATATTAGTTAAAAGCAGAATTTAAATCAACGATTTTTTTTTTTTTTTTTTTTTGTAAATTTGGACTCCGTCTTACCTGTTCGGAAACGAAAAATGAAAAAACAACGCAGTAAAACTAAGACATTATTAATTAGAGAGTCTTTTAATTGCTTTTATGAATAATATATATTAAAGATAATATTGCCTGAAAAAAAAAAATTTCGATGAAAAATTAATTTTTACAAGATTTGTTTTCATTTTTTCAGTTTCAAATTAAATAATTTATAAATTTTTAAAATCTTTTTAAATCTTAAATGTGATAATTCTTAGTAAATATTGTTAAGTAAAATTATGTTTACTAATCATATATTGTAAAGCTTATTACAATCTGACGACTCAGAATATTTTTAAAAGAATTTCGATTTGTTTTTTGTATGTGTGATTACGTGAAGAATTTCTGAAGCATGGATGTACAAACCGATAAACATATCATTAAAAGGTCACCTCTTTTTAAGGGTTGTCATCCCTTATAAAATTTATCATCTGCTCCACCATACTTAACTATGAAAATATTCGGGTGTCAATCCACTGTCAATAAATCGATTAACACGTAAGAAAACAAAACCCCATAGTTAAAAATGTTTTTTACAACATTTTATGCTATAAGTAACCTTTGTTTAAAATCAGAATGATTTACCTTTAAATTTAATTCTTTTTCAAATAACGTTTCAGAAATATATATTTTATTTTTGCACGTTTTTTTTAAATCGGGAATTATCTTTTGTTTTCAAATGTGTTAAAAATGGCCGATTTTTATCGATTTTACAGAAAAAAAAAGATTTTGATCAATATAAGTTCAGTTTGAAATACACCACAGAGTATTTTGCTTACTGGAAATAGTGAATTTTAAATCCTTTAGCTTTCAATTAAAGCTAAAATGAAAGCTTCAAGAAAGCTTTTTCATTTTTAAAAAATCATTTTAATCCTTACGTATACCGAATTAGTGGGGGTTCCTATATTATTGTATTAATAATATTATTATTATATATTATATTAAAGCTCTTTTGAATTTTGCATTGAGTTCTCAGTTTATTTTATATTTTAAGTATTTAGCCTATTTTGTACTTTAGCTTATATTTCTACTATTTTTTGTATACACATACATATATGTGTGTGTGCATGCGCGCGATTGCGCGTTTTTTTTTTTAAGTGTGGGTAAAAAACAATTTTGAAATATAGATACATGTTTACTAAAAGTACGAATACATTTATAGACTAATATGCATAGTTAATACACTAATCGTCACAAATTTACATGCACAGTGACGGACTGGGTGTAAATATATTGATTGCCAGAAGACAAAGGAGCCCCACCCAAAACTACAATGTTATTATTAGTATTATTATCAGTCAGCCATAGTTTACCGGTTATTTAGTGTTAGGGAGAATAATACTTTAGCCTTCCAGTAGTATACCGAGTACTAATATTAGTATTATTGTAACCATTGATACACTGAATATGAATATAGAAAGACGAGATACGCGCCCTCAAGAAACAAAACATTTAATAAGGCAAAATACAACTTAGATGCACATATTAAAAAGATTTAAACATGTCCCAAAACAAATGGTTGTTCCTTCTGTCCAAAGGACAAGTATATTTAACAGAACAACGAACAAACAAATAACATGCCGGCCTTATGGCCTTTGACCATCCGTAGCTTGGTGAATGAAAATTACATTTTTTTTCTCTACATTAGGCTGTGTACATGTCCATTTTCCTCGTATGTGGACGCCCTAGTGGTCAGGAAGGTAATAACCCTTCCTCAAAAAAAAAAAAAAAAAAAAAAAAACGGAAGCAAAAATAAAAAAAAGGGATAGAAGAGTTCTCCTCTCTAAAGAGACTGAACTCCCATGACCTCTACTCAAGGGAAAACAGTGGTCTCACTACACTATCATTTAATTTTCATAATGAATAAATAAAATAAAAAATGTAAGTATAAATTGTTATAATTGAACTTTTCATTTGTCTTTTTAATTTTAAGTAATTGTTTGATATTTAAATACTTTACTACACAATTTACATCTTAACAGTTCAAAAGTACGGTAAAACATTACATGTTGTCCACTGTATTAAGAACAACCGTTTGTGTTCAATTGATGATTGTTTGAATCTGCCTATAATTGCTTCTGCATCCAATTCATCTAACAATTCATTTTCGATGGATAGCAACATGTATGATTCCAAATTCCCCTGCGAATTTCTTAACCTTGTCTTTAAGATCTTTAGTTTTGAAAATGTCCTCTTACATTGGACTTGAGTAAAAGATAGTATACAGATGACTTTTTTAAAGTTATTCATTTTTATTGCTAAAACAGATGTCTGTGTTTGTTTCTTTATTGCATTTTTATTTGATATAGGAGCCCACATAAACAGGAGCGAAATCCATCAGGCGCCCACTTGCCATCGGGCAAGCTGACACCCTGGACAGTTCGCCACTGCACTCATTCAACAAAATAGTTTTTTTTTTTTTACTTCATATTATATTCTTAGTTACAATCGTCTACGGATACAAATCTACGTGAACAGATCTGCGCAGGTAAATTTTGATCGGTTGATTCATTTTCTCATCAATCAACACTTTACAAGTTATTTAAAGCCAGAAAATAATTTCAGATTGTAAGAATTTTATTTTTATTTTTGGGAAATAATAACGTTTTAGGGATAAAAGTCTTATTAATTAACCCATATCTGGGGGAAAGAGGTGGATTTATACCTTCTCCAAAGGTATTTGCCCGTAAGTGAATATAACGAACCCAGTTGAATTTGGAATTCGGTTATTTCCGATCCGTTATCCATTACATCACCCGCACATCCAAGCTTACAGCACTTGGTATTCCCAATCGGTCACTCATCTAGGTATTGACGAGGCTCGACGTTGCTTAACTTCGGTGATCATATGGGAACTGGTGTTTGAACATAATCTGGCCGTAAGCCTGTGTAGGTGAAGATACGCTAGAATTCATACATACTCCCTAATTTCCTGATTGAATAGATTTGGCAATAAAAAGGTGTTGATCTGTAAATAATAAATGGATCGAATCGGTATGAATATTCCAAAGAGTAGCCAATCTCCGACACAGCTGAAGATGTTCAAGAGATAGTCTAATATAACACATCAGTCAGAAAGAAAGATTCCGATCTTCATATATATATATATATATATATATATATAAGTGTGTGTGTGCGCGCGCGTGTGTGCATTTATAAATAGGCACACATATATAGATATATATTTTTATACATACACACACGGTAGGATATTTCGACATGACACACACACATGCGCACACAGAGATATATATAAGGGTAATCCATCGTCTATCAATCCTCATGTTTTTTGTTGTAGTTTTTGTTTTCCTACTTGTATGTGTGATCGCATGAATAGATGCAAAACGTCACGTACACAGAATTGTACTCTTTGCCTTCCCTTGTTGAGGTTTTCCCCGTGAGTTAAAATACATCAGTCAACAATCTTCGCAGCGGCGTGCCAAAGCCGACCAAAAGACAGATATGTTACATTTATAACTTAAAATTTCCTTGTTAAACCCTAAGTTTTCGAATAATGAAATTTCTGAGCCGAAAAAAAAAAGGAAGTTCTAATTTGATACTTTTTGATGGACGAGAAACACTCCCTGAAGAACTAAATCTGGACCTCTGTTTCGTAACAAAATATCTCTCTAATAATTTAGATAATGACGAGCTCACGGCCTCCATATACCCTCGCCCCGGCCTGCGTCCTGTAGAGGCCATTCTAGTATCAACACGAAAAGACCAAATTTTGACCAAACATGGTGGTATCTTTATCTTGTGAGATAAACGGAACCTTACTAGATAACGAGCGCTATTTAACAAAAAAAGATTTTTTCTTTCGCCTCTACAGTTGAATATTAATTTCTTAACACACTGAGAGACCAAGTGCTATGGCTTTTTGTTATAACATGCTAAAATTTAGTTATAAGTAGATGACTGCATTACGGCTGAAAATTAAGTAATTTCTATTAACACCAGAGACCTATGTTCGAGACCCGATAACAGTTCGGTATTTTGAATGCCGATGTTCGAAGCATTTCCTGACTTAGAAGGTTATATTATACCAATTTCTTCAATATTTTTAGAGTTGTGAATTCCAAAGAAGTTATTAAGACAAATAGAAAATGTCTTTGAAGAAATAAAACTTTGTTCTTATCAATTAAATATAAGAATTTATGAAAAAAAATGTTTAAAAATAAAAATATTTTTTAAAGATCTTTTATAAATCAAATAATTCAACGTTTGTATTCTGATAAAAGTAGATTACTAGCCATCTGGAAAGAAATGGGCGCCAATCATTTGCACTCAAAATAAACAATTCGAATTTAATTTTGTAATTAAATTAAAGACATTAGTTCCATTTCATCCTCAAGCAAATTTTGGTACAAAATTAAATTCGAAGCTTTTAGCTTCCATTTTTGAAACATGGTTAGAAAAAAAAATTATTAAAAAAAAAAATTTTAAATCAATTAATTTATAATATATATATATATATATATATATATATATATATATATATATATAAAAATTTAAGGATATATCTACATTTCAAATAAGGGAGAATTTTTTTTTTCTTATTAAGGGCTATACACTTTTGTCAACTTTTCTAACGTAACTTGTGTGAACATTAAATAAACTTTTCAGTTTTATATATTGAGCACATTTCTTACCCACTTTCTGTCTTTTTTATATAAACCTTTTAATTGGAAAACGTCTTCATATCTTGTGATTATTTTCTATATTTTGCACGATTCTTTATTTTGTTATCATTTCACCCCAAGCAAGAGAAAGGCCACTAAGATGCAAGGGATTACTGAGTGTGAGAAAATATGAGAAAAAAATTATTCAGTAGAAGGAACAATAAAAAATAAGAATTAAGAAAACAAAAGATATCAATTGATATTGCATTTAAACTTTTGAAGCTGACTGGAAAGCAAGAAGCCATAAAAGAATTCCACAAGCAGGAAGTGCGAAAGAAGAAACTGCTAGCATAGAACTTACAGTTACATCTAGCCATTGTAAGTGTAAAATGATGATATCTTGCCGCCAATCTAGTAACGCGCTTAAATTCATAAATCTCGCTAGTGGCACAAGGCCAAAAGGAGAGATAGGGGAAGGTTGGTCTTCAATATGTCGTATCTTAAACTTAGCTAGCCACAATTACTGACTCAAACATACCACAGTATTACTTACACCAAAACAACACATTCTTACTTACCATTCTTAGTATAGCCACCATAATACCTCAGAATGTCTATGAAGTCCGAACTAGTTCCCATATATACAATTTGTGTGGGGGGAGGGGGAATAGCAATAACAACTTTTAAAATTGAAACCATAATGAACATTTACAATGACTAAACTAAACAAAATAGTGTTAATAATACCCCCCCACACACACACAAACGCACAATCGTTAATCGTGGAAGAAACATCAGTTAACTAGACGAAATTAATGGGTAATTTAACAACAATCATTCGACCAACCACTGATTCAAACAAAAACTCTTCCAGACACAAAAACAAATACGAAATACTCGAAAAAACGAAAAGCGCTCCGTATCTACCAGAGAACTAACATCTCTGTCGCGTAACGGGGAGGGGAGGGTGAATTAAACTAAAGAAAGTGGGGCCAGAAATAAAAGAGGCGTCCCCTAGCTAAGATGACTTGAAGGAAGAAACTAAGGATAAAACAAACCTATTTTGGTCAATATTACTAATTGCACCGACTCACCGCAGCGAATGCAGTTTGTAGAGTCTTCCAACTCCGCCGAGCAAACTCTTTTGCCGAACAGAGGGCCTTTCGTATCATCAGCCAGGTGTGATGCCTTATCATTGTGGAGCCATTTCAACCCGAGCACCAAAGTATGACCGAGCTCGTCTACCTAGCACATGATATAATGCCTTACGGGAATACGTCTGGACGTTGGAGAGGCAATCCGTTACCCGTAAAGTGACATTCACGGTAGAAGGAGCACTCGCCTCGGGGTAAACGGTGGGTCACCTCCTCGCACAAATGTACACTTTTCAGGGATAGGTAGTTTTTATGGTCATCTTTCTTCCAAAATTCGTTCTCATTCTCCGATTGCGAACACAAGTATGTTGACGAATCTCGGCGCTAGGCATACCCAAACCGCCTTCAGAAGGTTGGAGCTAACAGATTTTCCCGACATAACTTGGGAGACTTTCCTCCCCACAAGAAGGAGAACAAAATCCTTACTAAACCCATTTGTAGTGTATACGGGAGTAGAAGCACGGAGAGTCGGTAAAAGAGAATCTGGTAGATGTGCGAGACACATACTTCCGCCCTCCCCTTTAGGAAAGATTCGTCCGGCATCCCATACGAACTACGACCTTGGCGTTCCCGCGCACCATTTCATATCCAGGAGATCAGGACCGAACCAGATGCCGAGTATCTTGACCGGCCTGTCCGAACAACGGAAAGACTCGTGAAGTCTTCCAGTGAAACCAACAGACTTATCGCGGTTGATCTTGACCACTGTCACAGTCTCGTACCCTTTGATTTCTTTGCCGACTTCGTCAATCTCGGCTCTGCTTGACACAAGAACTGAAACTTTGTCGACATAGGTGGAGTAGCTGGCCGAGGTGGCAGCATCAGTTAAGGAAATTCCGCATAGGATCGAATTCGTCTTTAACTAGGGTGGGGAAGGTTCCAACGCAAGAACGTACAGCAAAGGTGAAAGCGGACAAACGTACGAATGAAGCGAGACAATACAAATGATTCCGATCATACTCCGTGTGACGTCCCTTAACACAGCCTTCGCTCGCTCCTCGCTGCTTCGTTCGGGTGTCGCCGCTCCAAACGTGACGTCCGCCTGTTGCGTCAGTCGTGTTGTCCCGTCCTGTGACGAACAACTGGCTTGATATCCGTCGCGGCACCCAAATGTGACGTTCTAACCTTTTGGTGATTCGGGTGGGAATCTGGTTAGATTCGATATCAGCCTCGTCGTTCCCAGCTCGCTTCCAACGTCTGGTTACCAAAGTAACTGCGTTGATCTCCAGTCTGCCTACCCACGTTGTGAATTGATCTTAGGCAGATGAAATCAATCAGTAGTTGGGGCCGTAATGCAAACTGAGTTCAAACGAGGGTGACACCGCACAAATATGCATAAAAGAAAATAAAATGATAACTCAAAAGTTCAAGGTATCAAAAAAAGGATAACAATACTTTATGTCTAGTTGCTGGATACATAGGACTGCGTCTATCTCCCGACCCGTTATATGGATTGTGACACGTTGTTTTTTTTTTTTGTTAGGCGAGTTTTAACACTTTAAGTTGTCTGTTCTTTAAGAAATTGGTTCTTGGTGTGCCTTCAGGCGAAAGTCGAAAAAAACTTATTTTGGTGGTCTGGATCTAAGTCGCTCTTCAAAATAATTGTTCTTGGATTGAAGATGAGTTCGAAAGCTGCGCGAATCTTAGTCAGCTGATGAGGCACTTTCTCTGCTGAACTCTCCGGAAACTCTACTCTCTCAACTGAAACTGATTTTTGCTCGCTGCGACTTTGCTTATATGGACGCCGATCAAAACCGGGGTGGGTTTGTCGGCGTCGGAGGTTCCTCGATAATTCTAAATACATATCCACTTCTTTTTTTTTTTGGTTAGGAATTTTCCACTTTTTCCATTTTTGGGAGTCTTCTCTTACTCCCACCTTCTCACCATACTTCAGAGGGGCGTCAACTGTCCTCCCCACTTCTTCGTAGCAAACCTCTCATACCCATCCTCTAGGTGGGCGGTGGCGGCTTCCTCCTTGCGTCACGTGATCACCACTCGGCCAATGATGTCCAGCCGGGCCAATGTGCGATCCCAGCTGGCTTTGTTTCAGGAAAAAAAATATATCTTGCTCAAAAAAAAAAATCTTTTTTTTTTTCTTTTTTTTTC